ATCTGCTGGTCGTAGCGCCCCCTCGTTCCCACCAGTCAACCCACCGTTGACCTCCTTTCGAGCAGAAATCCCAGACCGAAAACAAATATCAACAAGGGTGTCACGAACAACGTTGTGCCGATGTTTAATACCTACTATCCCAGCACAAGATACTGCATGATCCCCATAAATATCTCCATCAAAAACCCTTGAGCAAGTAGAACACGGTGTTGAAACGGAGAACAATGGAACACCCAATCGATAGCAAAGAACACAACGGTAAGTCTTACCATTCATAGTCTGACCCAAACCCGATATCGGGACCGTTCGCAACCAGGCCGAAGAGTGATTCCCCTGTTGGGACTTCCATAAGGCAACCTGACGCGGAGATAAGGAGAAAGTGGAATCCACAGATGAAGTGACCTTCGTGAAATATATATCTGCCAATTTTTTCATGAGTCTGGGGGCAGCGATCTCACTAGGGTTACTCAAAAGGTTAGTCTCCACAGTCCTGTTAAAAAGATAAGAGCACCATCAAAGGCCGGTCCCGGACCAACAATACCAGAATCGCGAAGAAGCGTAGCCTGAAGACCTGAAGACTGGAGACGCGACGCAAGGAAAGCGTAATGCCGAACATCACCCGCCGAATATACACCCAAACCACCATAAGAAAAAGGTAAGGTGGCAAGTCGCCATTGCCAATCACCAAAACCAGGCCCCGAAGCAGTTACAATACGCTCTAAAGAAGCTCGAAGGGCCACGTCAAATGAAACTTGCGCCGTTTCAAAAAGACGAGGAGGACAAGTGCGCATAACAAAGTAGATTTTTGAAACCCCAGTACACGCACGAAGAAGTAACAACTCGCATTGGGGATCATCGAGCTTAGAAACAGCATCCATTAGCACAATGGTCTTCGACACTCTCTGCGAAACAAGCTCACCACAGAAAGACGAATCAACACTGACAGGACCACCCAGCAACTTAACACCATGCAAAGGACGACCAATATTTGGAGGAAAGACACCGACGAGACGGCTACGAGGGTCCTTCAATGGCCAGAATACTTCCGTTTTCTCAACGTTGACATGGAGTCCGAGACGAGGTCCCTCCGCCAAAATCAACTCCAAAACTTTCCCTACCACTAAGGTATCACCAATAATAGTACCGTCATCTAAATACCAAGCTTGAAAACATAAGTCAAAAGAATCCCTGATTTGGCACACTAACGGGTGAAGAACCAAAGCAAAAAGCAAAGGACCTAGAGGATCACCTTGTTGCACCCCCTGACATGACCATAAGATATGCTCCTCGTAAAACAACCTGGCTGGAGTAGAGTAACAGAATTCAACCCAACGAGAGAGAGAAGGACAACGGAGACGAACCTCACGCAACAAAGCCGACCGGTCTACCAAATTAAAGGCATTCTGGAAATCCACTAACAACATGGAGAGGCCAACATCACCACCACGCGCCTCAACCAAACGATTAACTGCATGAAGAATAGCCTCACCACCCGCCGGCACCCCAACACCAAACTGAAGACCTCCTAGATAACTTCCCAGACGCGGACCAATCAAAGCAGCACCAACCTTTGAAACCAGACGCCTCCAAACAGTACCCACAACAATAGGCCGAATACCACCACCAGGCTTGACAAGTGGCGTAAGAGGAGCACTAGCAATGTATTCTCTCAACACAGCAGGACATTTCCCAGCGAGAAAAAGATTAACCACTTGCGTAATAGAGTCCACCAACTCATCCGAAATAGCAACTGCAGCACCACTCAAACAATCCATAAGGTGTTGAGCACGCAAGTCGTCTCTACCGCATGACGTACCTCGCGGAAAACCCCTAATCTGATCCAAAACAACAGCAGGAGTAGCAATAAGGTGCTGATCAACGGGAATATCCGGGAAGATAGGAGCCGGAAAGGAAGGGTGCTTAGCTTGTAAATCTGCAAGAGTAGCGTCATTGTAAGGGGAAAGACCAGAAGACGAAAGAACCCTAACCGCAGCAGTGTAATGTCCGTCAGAAATCTTTCTCTTACACTGCTTAATATTACGCTCAGACAAATCATGGTCCTCATCAGCATCCAACAAAGGTGGAGACACATCAGCCAACGTGTCACGCACAAGCTGCACAGAACCACCAGGCTCACACCAAGAACAAATAGCAGAGGTGATACCCTCTTCCTGTCGCTGACGCCTGACACCCGAAGAACACTCGCGACTACTCCTTGGGGAAAAGGTTTTAAGGACACAGAGAGGCAACACAAGCAATTGAACCCAACAAGAGATGTCATCTGGCTTGCCAATCACCTTATCAAGGGCCCCTTTGAGAACCCGAGAAAAACCCAAGCGACACTTAGGAAGGATAGATTTCACTGAACGAAACCGCTTAGATAGCAAACTATCAAGAAGAGAAACATCAAAAGCAAAATGAGGCTCAAGAGGCCTTCCAGGAGATACCACCGAAGGAACCTGCGGTTTAGGAAAACCGAAAAGAACAAACCGAACAACACCATCTCCCAAGTCAGGAGGGGCCACAAAATCATCTGAACCATGACCATGCCGACACTTCATACAAAGAGAATGCGTCTTGAAACACTCCCCACAAAGTTAATAGTAACATATGTTAATAGTAGAAAGATAAAACAGTACAACTTAACATTTTCAAATGACTACAACCGCATATCAAAATAGGAATATAATTATATTAGCGTCTAACATCGTGCATAATTAACCATCCACTTCCATATGATTGGCATTCTCATCATCTTCATTGTTGCTTTGATCTTGGTTGTTATCACCTTTATTGTTGCTTTATCTTTCTACTATTAACATATGTTAAATATGATACACATTTATTTATAATAATAATAATAACAACAACAACAACAACATTGGTAATAATAATAATAATAATAATAATAATAATAATAATAATAAAAAAAAAAAAAAAATAAAAAATAATAATAATAATAATAATAATAATAATAATAATAATAATAATAATAATAATAATAATAATAATAATAATAATTGTTTTGGGTGTTTTTGTCCCTCGGGAGAGTTACAACACGAAGACTGATCCGGGGTGAGCTGTACCTGCAAAACAAACGGAGACACCAGTTGGGTGGTGCTCCGCCTCCGACGCACAAGTTAGAAACTTGAAGGGAGAAAAAAAAGGTGCGGAAATTTAGGTAGGGATCTGCTCGGATTCCAAGCTCAGGATGTCTCTATCAAAGAGTAAATGTGTAATAAATGATAAAACGTGCCCTCAAAATGAGGGACATTTCCCTATTTATAGGGTCTTTGGGAATTGTGCCCCTGATTAGGTTACTGAACCCTAATCATTGGTGGGCTGCGCCGTTTGGCGGCATTCTCGGGATTTGGGCCTGAAGGCCGCCTTTTCCCTTGATTTCGGGAATGACACGTGTTTTGCAGGGATTGGTCCATTTTAGACCAATCCGGGGGTGACACGTGTCACCTTCTGATTGGGCCACGTGGCAGGGTAAAATTACCCTAAACATTTGCCCCTCACATATGTGACGTGGCACGCCACGTGGCATCTGTGACACATGTCACGCTCCGGTTGGCGGTAATTTTACCGTTACAGAGTAACCGTTCACCTTCCGGGTAAATTACGGAAATGCCCCCAAATATACCCTCAATATATAGTCGTTTTACCCTCATAATTTTGTACGTTTACAAAAATTTTCTAGAGAGAAAAACTCTGAGAGAGCAGAAGTCACTTGTTGGAGGCAGACGCGAGCAAGAAAGTTTGTTCTTCAGCAATACAGTCGGTCCCGTCTACGTTCAAATACCAAATCAAAAGGTACCGTCTCTGTTTCTCTCAGCTCTTTTCTTTTTTCACCGCTTGTACATATTTCTTGCAATAAATGGATGCATCACCAACACACACGGCACAACCTAGGTTAGAGTCCAGCCGGTCACCAGGGTCGACTGAGTCTAGGACTGGGAGTGCCGGCTCGGGGTGTTGGGACCACCCTTTGCCATGGATTCCGACCAGTTATGTGTCTGTGCAGGACACCATGGCTCGGATAATGCAGACGGCCATGGACCCGAATTACAAGAGCGAAGGCTCAGGCGGCCAAACACCTGAGGGAGAAACGTCTGGTCAGGGGAACCAGACGGCTCTGGAGAGATCCCCTCCGCGCGCCCCTTCAACCTCTGCAGACCCTTTTTTGGAAGAGTGTGACCAAGGCGGCGACGAGGCCGCCTCTGCCCCCATGGACCAAAGCGAGGGGGAGACGGAGAGCGACAGCTCCGCCTCTACCTCCGAGAGCAGCGATGACTTGCCCCCTCTTCCGGATAGCGAGGAGGAAGAAAGGAAAAAGTGGAGTGAGAAGGACGATCCCTTCAGCATCCACGTCTCCTCCAAGGACCGAATCCAGATGGGGGAGAACTTAGAGAACTTTAAGAAAATGCACCCGCTTGGACACGGGTATAAGATCCGGGTGCCGCCTGAGCTGGGCACTATCACTTGGGGGGATGATCAAGAGAACGCCAACAACTATTTTGGCTGTTATGAGGCGGCGTTCAAAGCCGGCCTTCGCTTCCCCCTTACCAGGCGGTGAAGGCAATTTTGAGAGGCTACGGCCTTGGGGTCTGGCAACTTACCCCCAACTCCTGGACCAACATTCTGGGGTATGTTGCCACCTGCGAGTTCCAAGAGCTTAACCCCGGCTGAGAGGCCTTTGCAAGCATGCATTACCTCAGCAGAAGCCCAGGCGGCTGGAGGGCGTGGTATACTCTAACCACACAGCCGCAATACATGATGACCTTGGACAAGGTCTCCAAGTTCGATGGCTGGAATCACAGGTTCTACCTGATGTCAACCCCAACCAGACGGGAAAATTATGAATTCCGTTTGTACAATAAGAAGCCCGACTTGTTAGGCAGGAAGTGCGCTCTTCCCCGGATCCTAGAGGAAGACTTTGACAAAATAATCGAGGCAGACTTTTTCGGCCTCACAGACGCAACTCTATCAACCGGGGAAACAATAAAAGTCCCTAAGAATTGGATTCCCAAGAGCGCCTGGTTCAGGGATGAATGTTTCCTAGCCACCTGCGGGCTAGGGCACATGTTTAATAAACGTATGCGCCTGGGTTCACACCGTCTGTAGTATTTTTCTATCGGAATTGATTTATGATTCTGATTAATTTCTTTCTTTTTGCAGAAGAAGCACTAAACATGTTGCAGTCGGAGAAAACTCCCAAGCGGTCTTCTGCGACCATCCGCAAAGATCTTGCGGAGAAAGCTGCGGCCGAGCTCAGGGCCAAGGTATTTAGTGCCTGACCCTTTCTTAAGTTTATTTTATAAATTGTCTTGCCCGGATACTAACCTTTACTTGTTTATTTTCACAGGGGGGAGAAGTTGGGAAATCGTTTGAGAAGAATCTCAAACGGGCTAGAGAGGAGGCCCCAGCCGTTCTCAATAAAATAAAAAAGTCTGCTTGTGCGTCAACTCCTAGCGCCTCAGCCGGGGCTAAGACGATGCGGATAGCGGGGCGACTCGAGAAGGTAGGCGGCAGCCAGTGCCTTGATTTTGCCAACCCCTCAGCAGCCGCGGGGTTCACCACGCTTGCAAGCGTTTCCCGCTTGGCCGGCTCTGAAGGTAAGAACCCTTTTGAATCCCCGCTTGAGCTAGGGTGGCCTTTACGGGTGAAATCCCACTCCCAACAGACTTCATCCTCAGACGGTCGGCAACAGATAGGTGTTTCCTTAGTTTCGCACTCATCACGTATTGATTGTGGTGCAGATCAATCTCCCCGCTGGCCAAACGTCCAGAAGCACGCCAAGGCCATGCTGGATGCCGTCTGGAAGAGGGATAAGGACAATATCCCTGGGATAGAGACGTTCAATCTTGAACGCATTCTATCCCTTCTGGCTGAGGTAAGAAACTTGTCTATTCAATGTTATTTTTTCCAAGTAATTATCCCGCCTGTAATTCTTATACCGCTTGCTTTTTGCAGGCCATGCTGCGGGTGGACGGGCTCAAACGTCTTTATTCCCGCAAACGGGAAGAGGTAAAAAGAGCCAAGAAGTCCGCCATAGACGCTGATAATATTGCTTTCCACTCAACTATCGTAAATGAACTTGAAACTAAAGCAATAGTTATGACACAGGCGTCTAAAATCCAGCAACTGGAGCTAGATCTGAAGGCGGCCGACCAGCGGGTAACGGATGCTGAGACGGCCAAGAATGGGGCGGAGGAGGCCCAGAAGAAAGCAGACGAGAGCGCCAAACAGGCTGAAGAGGCGCTCAAGAAGACCCAGGCGGACCTTGGCAAACTGAAATCCAAGGTTGAGAGGCTAGAGAAGGATGTTGCTCAAGCTCAGAAAAACTTTGCAACAACCCTGGAGGCGGAGCAAAACCGCCTTGTTGCTGAGAGTGATGTTGACAACGACGCCCGTATGAAGATTGCTTGGGCTGCCTTGTACCCAGACGCTGATTATAGCATCTAGGCAATGGCACACAGCTATGCCGAGTACGTGGTGTACTTGAGAGAGCAAGGTGAGCCAGAGCCTGCCTCCTTTGAAGCCTGGCTCAGCAACAATGAGCCAACCGCGCCTGAGCTTCCTGGTCCCGGCGAAGCGCACCAAATTCCCTCAGATGATGAGGAGAAGGGGGAGAACCAGGAGGCTCCGTCTGCAAGCCAGAAGTGACCCCTCAGCGGCAGTATGCCAGTCTTCTTTTTAATTCCTTTTTATTCAGCGGTTGTATGCCAAAACTAGCTTTTTTCTGCCTGCGTGCCGAGTATTCTTGTATTTACCAGCTGTGGAGCCGTGTTAATTAACAATTTCTTTCTCCCGGACGGTGTCCGGTTAACATTTGATCCATTAGAACCGTTTGGTTGGACTGACTTTTATGAATTGCACCGACTAAGTCGGTTTTGAATATTTTGCATTTGAATTTTTAATTTTTGCCAAGCATGCGGTGATTTCTTGCCTAACTAGTCAGTAGTCCGGCTGTCCTTTCCCCTGGACGGCTGTGTGATTGGTTTCAATTGGAGATGGTTGATTGACTTGAAAACGTCTGATGCTGCAAAGAGCATGATATGTTTGTAAGTCAATCAATCACAGTAGTGATTGCCCCAAACCAAGTGCACAGCCGTACACCAACAGGCGTTTCGGTCACTACACAAACGGCTTATGCCCGTATTGGTAGAAATTTCATAGCCATTGAACTCTTGCCCCAATTGGGGTGAGGTGCAATTTCAAAATAAATAACCTAAGTGAGAACTTCAGCCGGTTACCGACTGATGCCTATGGGCATCCGGTATTTAGGAACTTATTCGTTCTTCGTAGGTTATTTTAGTCAGACGGCTATGAGTTGACCAATTTGGTCGTTCAATTTTTGTCGTCTGCATGGATACATGGAACCGACAGATAATCTGTTCTCTGCGACGATTGCACCCGGAGGGGTGTCGCCGGACGCCTTTGTCCATGTTGGGACAGACGATTTTATAAAAATAGCAACCATCCGGCCATTTTAGCCTCTGGTCCTGTTTGAGACCGGTTGTGTAGCCACTAAACGTTTTTGTGCTTAGTTTCTTAATCAGTGTTGAATTTACACTAAGTATCGAACTTAGTTTGTTAAGCATACGAGTCTGTCTGGGTAATATCCAGACGGACAGGCAAATATTTTATCATACTAAGTATTAAACTTAGTTAGATAAATTGAGAATCCGTCTGAGTATTACCCAGGCGGATAGTCAAGCAGTTGAATAAACAAAGTATCAAACTTAAATAAACAAGAGATCCGAGTATTACCCAGGCGGACAAACAAATGTAACCTTCACTAAGTATCGAACTTAGTTAGGTAAATGAGGAATCCGCCTGGATATTACCCGGATGGATAATCAAACGAAAATTTTGCAAACCAAGTCAGAATCTTCATTAACTGACTCACTGTTTACAAAAAGTTTACATTCTCAGAAGTAGTACTTTTTTAGATTGTCTACATTCCAAGTTCTAGGCAGGCGCCTGCCGTCTGGAGTTTCCAGGCGGTAGGTGCCGTCCCTTACTTCTTCATAGATCCGGTAGGGGCCTTCCCAATTTGGGGTTAGCTTTCCCAGCTCATTGGCCCTACCGGTTGCCTCCATTTTTTGTAACACTAAGTCGTCAACTTTTAAAGGACGCTTGTGTACTTTTTTGTTGTAGGCTCTCGTCATTCTCAGACGGTAAATCTCATGACGCAAGGCGGCATTGCCCCTGCGTTCTGGGAGTGAATCCAATGCCAGGCGCATTGCTTCCCAGTTTGCCTCTTCATCATATAGCATGACTCTGAGAGTCGGCTTCAGCACCGTAAACCATAAGAAATGGGGTTTCCCCGGTTGCCCCTTTCGCTGTTGTCCGGATGGCCCACAGGACATGGATTGATTCTTCTGCCCATAAGCCACCGGCTCTTTCTATTTTCTTTTTAATGCCGTCTGAGATGAGTTTGTTGAAAGCTTCAACTTGGCCGTTTGCTTGGGGCCAGCCAACAGATGCAAAATAGCTTGAGATCCCCTGATCTCCCAACCAAGTTTTTAGCTGAGGCGTCTCAAACTGAGGACCATTATCAAACACCATAGACATGGGTACCCCGTACCGGGTGATAACATTCTTCCAGATGAAGGAAATTACGTCTGAGGTCTTGATGTTTTTAACCGCCTCAGCCTCCACCCACTTGGTGAAGTAATCCACAGCCACCAAGATGTAGCGCTTTCCGCCTAGAGCAGGCGTGTAAGGACCTAGAATGTCCATGCCCCATTTTGCAAACGGGATTGGGCTGTGGATGGCCGTCAGATCAGTAGCCGGTCGGTGAATGAGTTTGCCAAATTTTTGGCACTTGTCACATTTCTTCACCAACTCCTTGGCGTCTGCCTCAAGAGTGGGCCAAAAGTAATGTCGTCTGGCTCTGACGGCTAGGGACCTGCCGCCTATGTGAGAGGCGCAGAATCCCGAGTGCAAGTCTTCGAGAACTTTTTTCCCCTTTTCTGGGGTGACACACTTCAACAAAGGCTTCAGAAACCCCGCCTTGAAGAGTTCTCTATTTTTCAACTCGAATCTTGCAGCTTTCTTTTTCAGGACGGCTGCTTCCTGTGGCGAATCAGGAAGTGTGTCGTCTGAGAGATAGGCCCGGATGCCATCCATCCAGGTAGAGCTTCGGTCTAGAATTCCAACGGGATCCTCATAGATGCTTCTCTTTTCAAGAACTTCCCAGATGACTGACCGAGGCGTATCATGGCAGGCGGAAGATGCCAGCTTTGACAATGCATCCGCCTGGTTGTTTTCCGACCTAGGCACCTGATTCAGCCGGAATTCCTCAAGTGCCTTGGTCTCTTCTTTGATTTCCTGAAGATATTTAATCATAGCCGGATGGGTAGCCTCATGACTTCCCTCATACTAGCTAACAACCAATTGAGAATCAGAGTAGACGTCAATTTTCATGGCCCCTGCCTCCTTACACATGCGTATGCCGGCTAGCAGGGCTTCATATTCCGCCTCATTGTTAGAGGCCTGAAACTTGAAGCGTAGTGCATATTCAAATCTGTCTCCTTCAGGAGACTCATAAATTACGCCTGCACCACAGCCGTTCTTTGTAGAGCTCCCGTTTACGTACACTTTCCAAACCTGATCAAGATTATCCGGAGCCACCGGACGAGTCATTTCCACAATGAAGTCGGCAAACGCCTGACCTTTCACTACCTTTCTTGGTTCGTAAGTGATTTCAAGGCTCTGCATTTCAATAGCCCATTTCAACATTCTCCCAGATGAGTCCAAGGTAGACATTGGTCGCTTGAGTGGCTGGTCCGTGTAAATCACCACCGGATGTGCCAAAAAGTAAGGCTTCAATTTTTTGAATGCCATATACAAAGCAAGACCAAATTTTTCAACCATGGGGTACCGGAGTTCAGCATTTTTAAGAACATGGATAATGAAGTAAACCGGGAGCTGCACGCCGTCTCGCTCAGCAAGGAGAACGACACTGAGGGCATGGTCTGAGACGGCTAAATACATGTACAACGTCTCCTTAGGCAAAGAACTGACCAACCTAGGCAGAGAATGTAAATGCTCTTTCAACCTCTGGAACGCCGCCTCAGCATCATCCCCCCATTCAAATTTGGTCTTCTTCCTGATTGCTTGGAAGAAGTAGAGGCATTTGTCACCTAACCGGCTGAGGAACCTCCCCAGGGCGGCCAGACAACCGGTGAGTCTCTGAACTTCCTTAACAGAGCGGGGTGACTTCATGTCAATCACCGCCTGTATCTTTTCGGGGTTAGCCTCTATCCCCCTTTGATCAATCAGGAATCCAAGAAACTTCCCAGACTCAACACCAAAGACGCATTTCTTAGGATTTAACATAACCTTATGCCGCCTGAGGGTGGTGAATCTTTCTCGGAGATCAGCAAGGTGATCCGTATGTATCTTGGATTTGACTATCATGTCATCAATGTACGCCTCCACACTCCTCCCAATCTGATTAA